GGGTAGTGTTGCTGGTGAAAGGGCGTTGTTCCTTGTTGGCAGCCATCGAAGGCCCTCCCGCGGTAGACCTTGGGTTCGCCCAAGTCGTTGCGGGACGCCCCATGCTGGACGGCGCACGGCTGATTTGCAGCTTGCGCTCGAAGGCTCGGGCCAGATTCATTGCTGTGACCAAGTTGGGTGGGCTCTGCATCTCCACATCAACTCTCAGGGGTTCAGATAGGCCGGCTGTGAACATATCCACCTGCTGTGAACATATCCACCTACTGGTCTGGCCGAACTGAAGAGGCTCTGGCGAGGAGGGTCTGAAACTGCCGCTGATACTCCGCAAAGGTCCCGGTCTGCTTGAGGTTAATGAGCTCCCCCAAAGGGTTGCTCGTTAATGGGGGCCCGAACCGGAGGAGGCAATACGACTTGAACTGGCCCCAACTAAGGCCTGGTTCTTCCTGCTCCACTCGGTAGAACCAGAGCTGTGCTTCATCGGTCAAGTGGAATGCTGCTAGGCTGACCTTGTCCTTCTCTTCCGTGCGCTGATTGCGGAAGAATTGCTCACAGCGGTACAGCCATCCGAGTGGGTCACCGCTGCCGCTATATGAGGGGAACTCTAGACGACTGTATTTGGGTATGATTGCTGCTGTCGGTGTGTCGTTCTATCGCTCACCGGAGCCCTCTGTTCGATCTGGGCGGCGGCTGTGGTTAGTGGCTGCCCCTTTAGGGCTCCCTTCCCTGGTGGAGAAGTATAACTCCAGTAGACACCGAAGTTCCCTGACGTCCTCTTTAACTTCTCTTACCTCCGCGTGATTTTCCACGAGATGGTGTTCCAGCTCGTGAACCTTGGACGATAGCTGCTCCATGTCACCCATGACGCTTGGCTCTGATACCAAAATGTTATGGGCCCGGGCGTAGGATCTCGTCACTGGGCGGTTTGTTGGGAAAACTCCCTGCCTTCCCTTTGCCTTCCCTTTGCGAGTTAACCCTATGGTGGCGGACTGTGGGGTGATTTGTTCAAGAGATCACCTAACTCTCCTTGCTCTCTTCTTGACTGAAAATTCGATACCTTTATTGAATAAAATCAGCTCCTTAAATAGGAGTTTTCAAGAGGGTTTCCTTCTTGTATTCGGCTAAGGTAGTCCCTCTCTTATCGCAACTTAAACTTCTAGCGAAACTCAAACTCCTACTTCTAAGGGGAACACAAAAATAGGGGATAAGGGAAACTCAAACTCCTANCCCTCTCTTATCGCAACTTAAACTTCTAGCGAAACTCAAACTCCTACTTCTAAGGGGAACACAAAAATAGGGGATAAGGGAAACTCAAACTCCTACTTGTAAGGGGAACACAAAAATAGGGGATAAGGGAAAGGTACAACTGGAGTTGGCGAGCTGGGCTGCTGTGGTCGGATAAGAGTGGGCCCACCTGGATGAGCTGCCGTATGGGCCCCGCTCTACCGCTGGCGCGTGCGTCTCTCCTTACTGCTGTTGCCGTGTGGTGTGTGCCGCTGCCGGGCGGTGCGTGCCACTAGGCGTGCGACTGTCAGACTATACCGCGGCGCGCTGCTAGGCAGCCTGTACCGCGGCGTGCTGCCGGGCGGTGCGTGCCGCTAGGTGCGCTGCTGCCTGTGATTGCGACGCAGCGTGTTGCCGGGTGTCGTGTCCATAACACCGCGACAATCGATCCTCCGACGATTACGTGGATGGTTCCCCGGACTAGCCTCTCGTCTGGAGGCTGCCTCTGCGGCTGCTCTGCTTGTTTGCTGGACTCGGGGGCTTCTTTATTCTGCTCCTCGTGCCGACCTGCCTTATTATTATTATTGCTATGCTGTACAAAATTCCTCAAATATCCGCAGCGGATGAGTTCTTCTATCTCATCGTGGAGATTCTTACAACTTTCGGTACTTTGACCGTGATCTTTATGGAACCTACAATACAAGTTTTTGTTCCTAACGTTAGGATCGGCCTTGAGCCGAGGTGGTCACTTTACATACGGGGCGTCCTTGATCACCATGAGGATCTCGACTCGTTTTGTGTTGAGGGGCGTAAACACCCTTTCTGCTACTGGAGCTCGGAAAGGCTGGACTGGCTTTGCCCCCCGAGCTTGGTCCTTCTTGTAGTCACTTGGAGCCGAGGGTTCCGATTCCCTTTTTCTTTTCTTGAGGGCGTGCTTGCCCTTTTAGTTGATCTCCTCCTCTGTCCCTATGAACCGATCTGCGAGCTCGAGGAACTCGGTCACGGTCTTGGGTTGGTTGACGACCACGTGCCATTTAAACTCTTTATGGGTGATGCCCCGTTTGGCCATGGTGAGCCGAACTGCAGGGTCCAGGTTGGGTATCTGCAGGCAAGCGTCATTAAACCACTTGATGTAGTTCCGGATGGACTCCCCCTCCCTCTGGACTATACTGAGGGGGCTTTCTTGAGTCCTCAGGCATCTCTTACTGGTGACGAAGTAGGAGGTGAAGACCTACACGAACTGTGCTCAGCTCCTTACTGAGCCCGGCGAGAGGTTTCGGTACCAGGTGCGGGCTACTCCCTTGAATGTAGTGGAGAAGGCCACGCACATGCAAGACTCACTCGCCCTGGCCAGATGCATCTGGGATTGGAAGGCATTGACGTGGTCGTTGGGGTCGAAGGACCCGTTGTACTTGTCCAATGGTGGGAGCTTGAAGTCCCTGGGCATGGGGACTGCGAGGAGCTCCGGAGACAGAGGAGAGGGGACTGAGAGAAGTGGCATAGCTCTTACCTCTCCCGAACTTATTTCTATTTTGCCCTTGAGCTCGGGCAGGTTGTGGGTGGTGGCAGTTCGGCGAGCCCGATGGCGTCTCCGTTGCCTCTTGGCCGGCTCGGCGTTGGTGCTGCTGGCCTTAGTGTTGCTGAGCTCGATGGGCCTAGGGGGAGGCAGGAATGGCTGTCGGTAGCTGCGGACAGAAGGACCTTGTTCCAGGTCGTCGGCTAGCACTTCAAACCTGTTCTCCGCTAGCAGAGGCTCGAACTGTGAGTGCTGAGGCGACGCAGGCCTAATCGGCTGGGAAGCCCCCGACCTGACTGCGGGCCGTGTGGCGGGGGTAGGGAGTCTTCCCTTCCTTCCACGAGATGATGCCGAAGTCTCTCCCCGGTGGGAAGGGAGTTCACTGCGACGATGAGGCTTAGTTGGCTGTGTAGCCGGATGCCGGGGAGGGAGTGACGAGAATTGTTGCTGGTACTGATACTGGGATACTTGGTGCAACACTTGCTGCTGGTGGAACTAGAGTTGTTAAAACTATTGCATCTGGGCCTGCATGGCCCGCATGCACTACATCAAGTCTTCAAGTTGACCTTGGCCGGCCATCGGAAGGGGGATGGTAGGTTCGGCGAAGGTCGTCCCGATTGCAGGGGGCAGCGGAACAGTCATGGGTGCCACCGTTGTAGGCACGTTCAGGCTAGGAACTCCGTCCGCAGAGAGGGGGACGGTGAACTGCCCGATGCAGACGGTGGGCAGTTGGAGTTGCTTCTCTAGGGTGTTGTTTCGGCGTCCGGAGTTGCTGGAAGAAGCCATGGGTGTCGGTGCTGATGAGTTAAAGAGAGGGAAGTTTCACAGAAGTTAGAGGGAGGCTTTTTGAAACGCTTCCCACAGACGGCGCCAAATGATGCTGCACGATCTGGGCACTCCT